TAGATCTGATTTCATATATCTTTTCACTCTTCAGTGTTCGAGTGATAAAAATAAACGGAGTGTCACTGAGCTTGATTGGTAGAGTATTAACAAATTCACTAATGCTTTCTTAAGAAGCAGTTGGTAAAATATGTGCATTTAAACTATATAAAGTTTCAAAACTAATTTAATATAATTTATTTATTTGTCTAATAATATAAGAAAATAATATTTTTTACAAATTATATTTTAAAAATAATAATTTTATAAAAAATTAAGTTAAATTTTAAATTATTTTTAAAAACAATATTTTAAGTTTTTCAAATAAAAATAAACAATTTAAAATTAAATATGGTCATGATTTAACATAACTATAATGATTTAAATTTTTAAAAATTAACAAATTAAATATTAACTCAGATTTATATCATGATTTAACAATTTAAAATTAACTAAGGTTATGAGAAGTTTACGTTCACGTGTCAATCTTATTTATCTTCATTTTTTTCTCTTGTTATGTTTATTTTATTTTGGTTATTCCTCCATACAAATATTTATTTTGAAGTTTATTCTCATTTTGTTTGTTGGTTTTGACCTGAGATTTAGAAAATACTTAAGATTTAAAATAATTAAAGAGATACACACTTGGATTAAGATCTTTACATTATGCACAATAAGTATTTTATATTTTATATTTTATGCATATTATAAAATAATAAAATAATAAATATATAAATTAAATAACTAAAAATCATTTACTATTATGTAATAAATTGGCGTATGCATATAAATTTAACTATCACTCTTGTTTATTCGCAGTTAGGGTAAATAAATCAAAATAATCAATTTTATATATTGTATATGATATATAATTAAATCTAAATTATATAAATATAGTAATATAGCACACTTTTAATATGGATGTTTATTAAATGAGGTTTCTACTCATAAAATCAATAATTGTCATATATATATTTTAATCACATTAGGTAATTCTGTAGGTTTTATTTAAGGAAAGCATGCGAAACAAAAAAATATTTGATATATGCGATCACTATAGCCTACGAAATATTATATTGCTAAAGAGTATAATTTGTATACTATACATTATATTACATGCTCTATAATCTTTTTAAATTGAAATAGAAGACAAAAAAACTATGCCACATAGGATTGAGGTTATTTTTAATTATTACAAACTTAAAGTTACAACTTTTTAAATGATTCTTTTTAAATATATATGGGATAACCTCATCCTACGTGGCACATCTCTATGCTTTCTATTTCAACTTATAATAATTCTAGAGCACCTTATATCTTTCTATTTCAACTTATAATAATTCTAGAGCACCTTATATAAAGCATAGCTTGAAACAAGGTCCTTTGGTCTCATATGAAACATATCAAACTAAATAACATATCAAACTAAATCTTCTATATATATTCTTTCCATAAATAAAACCAACAGAATTACCTAATGTGATTAAGATATGAATGGCTATTAATGATTTTAAATAATAAGATTTGTTAACAATCTCTATATTATATATCATTTTTATTTAATATTTTTATTATTAAAATAAATTACAGAACTACACTAATCATATAATAAAAATCTAGTTTTTTTATATATTCAAATTTTCAAAACGAGTATAAATCACTAAAACTATTAAAAATCTCACATAAAACTTTTGTGATCAACGACTAATTTTTTTTCTATAATAAATTACAATGATTATAAAATCATATGAATAAATAATTTTATTTTAATAGGTGTTTATGTTAATATATATATATACATATCTCATATCGTACGAATAAATAATTGTATTTTAAACATAATTATAAATTAAAATTTAACTTAATTTTTTTATAAAATTATTTTTTATATATAAAATAATTTTCTTAAAATATAATTTTATAATATTATTAGAAAAATAAATAAATAATATTAAATTAGTTTTGAAACTTTATATATTATAAATGCAAATATTCTACCAACTGCTTCTTAAGAAAACATTATGAAACTTGATAATGCTCTACCAATTAAGTCATGTGACACTCCGTTTATTTTTCATCACTCGAACACTGAAAACTGAAAAAAATATATGAACCGGACCCATTAAATTTTAAGTTTTGATCTATAGTTCTAATTACAATTGTTTATGATCCGACGTATAGGTAATTATATAAAAATTCCAAATACATATAAAAACAATCATATGTAAATTATATATTTGTGAATACTATATTTTTATATTTTAATTATATACACTCACTCTGCACAATGTGCAGGTCTTATCCTACTATTTATTGTTTCGCAGGTTTTTCTTAAATACAACCTACGGAATTACCTAATGTGAATAAATATATATATTACAATTAATGACTTTTAAAAATAAAGATTTGATAACAATCAGTATATTTTTTTATCATTTTGTTTAGTTTTTTATTATTAAAATAAATTAAACAATTACATTAATCATTAATAAAAATCTAGATTTTTTTGTGTATGTTGTATTTTGAATTTTTCAAAACGGTATAAATTACTAAAACTGTTAAAAATCTCACATAAGCTTTTATGATCAAGATTTATATTATTTTCTTAATTAAGATATAATTATTATAAGAGCATATGAAAATAATTTTATTTTAATAGGTTTTATGTTAATATATATACATATAAATATATATATATATATATATATATATATATTTCATATCCTTTAAATTAAACTATACAACATATGAAAATACATACTAATATTTAGATATTTGCATTAAACATATATTGAAAAGTTAATATTTTAATCTTAAAATTAGTCATTTTTTCAAAATGATTATAAATTATTAAAATTACTAAACATCTCACATTAAAAAAAATCGTTGGTGTAATATTTTTACAAATATGCAAATAATCATAAAATCGTATGAGTAGAAATCTCATTTAATAAATATACATATTAAAAATGTGCTATATATCTATGTTAATATCATTTAAATTTAATTATATATCATATACGATAGATAAGAGTAATTCTTTTTATTTATTTACCCTAATTGCGAATAAACAAGAGTGATAGTTAGATTTATATGCATACGCCAATTTATGACATAATGGTAACTGGTTTCTTAGTTATTGAATATATATACTTATTATTTTATTATTTCATAATATGCAGAAAAATATAAAATGAATAATAAATATAAAATATTTATTCTGTAAAAAGTATCAGATCTTAACTTAAGTAGTATCTCTTTAATTATTTCAAATATTAAGTATTATCAAAATTTTAGGCCAAAACAAACAAACAAACGAAATGAGAATAAACTTCAAAATCAATATTTATATTGAGCAATAACTAAATTAAAAAAAAAAGACATAAAATGAGAAAAATATGGAAGATAGATAAAACTGGCACGTGAACGTCAACTTCTCATAACCATAATTAAATTTTAAATGGCTAAAGCATGATATAAAACTGAGCTCACATAGTTTCATTGTAACCAAATATACCCTAGATTTTTTACTTAAACATTAGGTTCTTTGCAGTAAGTGATATTTTGACCTAAAATATGTTTAAAAATGAAATCAGCTCATCACTAAACAAATTATATAATTAACAAAAAAAATTTAAAAAAAATTGTTTAAGGATCAAATATTAATTCAATTAAGAATATAGATTTATTTTTCAATATAATAATTTTTATATAAATTTATCCTCCGCAAAACGCATGTCTTATCCCAGTATATATAGAGAGAGAGAATTTAATAGGACACTCCTACGATAGTCACCACAACAAATAATTAACAGACCGGTACAGTTCACCGTCGGCGAGTAGACCGTCTGCATTTGTTATATTGTTTCTCGAGACAATTTGCTGAGACACCCTAAATGGATCTTAAATTAGTGACTTACTCATGACTTGACATTAAAACTATTTTTTTACAATTTTTCGGTATTGGACGAAAATGCCCTTCTTCAACTGACACACTTTTCTATTGGTTACAGAAAAGTCAGAATCTTAGTGTCACCTGCTTCACTTTGTCCATATTTTTGCTAGATTTTTTTAAATGCATAAAATATTATCAAATAATAATATTTTTTAAAATATAATATAAGAATATTATAATAGATAAAATAATTTAATAGTTGATATAATTGGAAATATAAATTACAATTGCTTCCAAGATTTCAACATCTCTAAATTTTACAATCTCTTATGAATTCGATATTAGTGTTAGATTAGTTTTAGCGGTTAACTCATTTGTTAACTGATACATGTTTTGTTACTTGATAAATTTACTTAGTTCGAGAGAGAAATTGGAATTTCGACAATATTTATTTGTTAACATATAATACCTAACACATGTATTAACATTTACAAATTTGTTAACAACTAACACCTCTGTTAATAATTATGGTATATGTATTTGTTAACAGCTAAGACATTTGTTAACATCTACAAATTTTGTTAACGGTTAATACCTCTGCTAATAAAACTGATACATATATTTATTAACAGCTAACACCATATTATTTTCTATATATATTATTAACAATACATTTGTTTATATTATATATAGTAAATAATAATTTGAAACCTCAAGATAAAAAATATTTCATCAAATAAAGAAAACAAAATAATTAGAAGAGGGAATGATAAAGAAAAAAGATGATAAGAGAGTTTGAGAATGAAAAAGATGTAAAATCGAATGAAAGAAAGAATGCCAGGAGAGAAAATGGTGAGAGTATAGGCAGAGGAGCATTCTGGTCATTATTTTAAAAGAATCACATCATAAATAGTTTGTAAATTAGAAAGTGATTTAGGGTGTCTCACCAAATTGTCTCTTGTTTCTCAAATGAATGCTCCCCCC